GGGGGGGGGGGGGGGGGGGGGGGTTTTTGCCGTTTTTTTGGTTCCTTCTCCTTTTAAGTTCGTCCTTCCCCCAATGTTCTGTTAAAAGAAACCCCCCCGTAGTTACCAAAAGCTGTGTTGTAACAACAAAAGTGTTTTCCGTAACCCCCCCTCCAGTTTCAAAACTTTAGTCAAAAACCCAAACACACCCACCAACAACGTTCAACCCCGGTTAAAACCCAAGTGTAAGTAACACAACACCAGAAGTAAAGTGTAAAAAAAAGCAGGTAATAAAGCAAAACACAAAACAGTGGTAGTAAAACAGCCAAGTACCTCAAACAACGTAAACAGTAAAAACCGAGTGTAATCCCACAAAACAGTACAACAACCCCGAAACCAGTAAAGAACCCACCAAACACCAAAGTTTGAACCCACCCAAAACCTCTAAAATTAGTAATAATACCTAATTATATTTAAAAAATTAATTTAATTTAAATTTAATAATTCAAAATAAATTAATTTTGTAAAATTCTTTTGTTATTTTTATTTATAACCATCCATTTATTGTCCAATTTTCAATCTAATCGAATCTAGCTGATTTGACTACTTGATTGGAACTGTTTTACCAGGGACTAAAAATTAAATTAATAAAATTACATTGAATTAATGATTACTTCATATATCTATTATTCAAATTTTGGATTTGAATAATTTAAATATATCTTGTAGTTGATTCCTGAAACAATTTATTCTTAAACGCTAATAACTGAATCGAACTGATATCCATCTTGTTAAGGATTGAATTTAATATTAATTTCTTTAATGGCATCTTCAATGATCAATGAATTAGACTGTTAAAGTTCTGCAGTTTCAATTTATCTCCATGATCCTGAGGCTTATTTCTTTGAACCTCTTAATTGATTGAAATTTTATTTTGACTCTTCTACTGTTGATTAAGTGTGGGTTGTCTAACTTGACCCACTAAGGTCTCCTTGATAATTATATGAACCGCCGGTTGTGACTTTGGAATCGAGGGTTGTCACTGTAGTGTTTGGTCCGCTAGTGTATTCTGAATTAGTTTCATTTAGAATTCCATGATTTGATCCAGTGATATATTAAGAGACATGGTCACCATAATCGTATGCATATCTTGATTTGGATCCTTCTACATTTTCATAGGTTTAGTTGGAAGCTCCAGAATAGATGGTGGTATTATCAAAATAATGTCCACTGGTCTTATTGAGAGTCTAGTTGTAATTCAAAATAGTTTTGTTTTTATCGTAATCAATTGTGGAGTCAGTATATACTGTATTTAAATATGTATCAAGTTCATCATCATTACTTGCTGAATATTGTTTATATCTTAAGGAAGTGCCATTCGATTTTGATTATTTAAATGATTTATACTTATAATCAAAATTTGAAATTGTGTCATTGTTTCTCTCTTCAGAATTTGATTTTTCTGTAATGTTTTTGGTATCTGTAATTCGATAGTGATTGATTGATGAGTTATTTCCTGAAGTTAAATTACTGTAGAACTAATATTCATTTTGGTCTAAAGTTTAACTTGAGTACCTGTGTGAGGCATTTTAGTCACGATCTATCGAAGCATGGCCTCCTCTTAGATCATCATAACGATATTCATCGATATTTTATTCGGATCCATTAAATTACCATTAGTTATTACTTCCATAGCCAATATAACCATAATTATAATATCCGGTTTAATTAGAGTATACTACTTTACCATTAAAATCATAAACTAAATTTTCATAATCAGAATCACCATTGTTGTTTTCAATTAGTCTATTGTTATATCCTATAAATATAATTCCATAATTTACCATTCGTTTTATATGCTGCAGAAATTGTTTGATTTGTAAGAACGAGTGTTCCAAAGGCAGATTTATTCTCATTAAAGTTTGAGTTGGTAGACTTCTAGGCTACGATTAAAGAATAATTAAAGTTGAAGTTTCTATAAATTACATTACCCTGATCATCATAATCTCTTTCTAAAGTGACTACTTTGCTATTCTGATAGTAATAATACTCAGATTCAGTATTATTTTCTTAAGTTTCAGTGTTATTATAAATAACTACGTATTCGTAAGTTCCACTAGAGGAGTTGTAATAAGTAACATTTTAGGTGTTGTTTTTGATTTATCCCTATTACAATTTTGAGTGGTTTCTAACTTTCAATTATAGTCTTGACGGAATATATCTACTATTTATTGGATTATGATTATTTGAAGATCCATTGTCATAATTTATAGTTGAATTCTAATTGGTTGTATTTTAGGATGAGGAATTACTGGAACTATTAGAGCTGGATGTGTAATTGTAAGTTGTATTTGGATAATTACTGTTAGTTAGGTTTTATTCAGATTTGATTCCTTTAGCCAATAATATAGATTATTATATGGAATCTTCTTAATATGATAATTGATTACCTTTGACAAGAGATGGGAGCTAATTGGATGTGCCCTTCTCTTTCTTAATATCCAAATCTCCTTCAAGTATCGATTTAAAAGTATCAATATCTTATTCTAAATGATATTAATCCTTAGTTTATTCCAATAACTCTTGCATAGATTGTACTCTTGAGAGTGCAGTCAAGCACAACAATGACATCACCAATGATAGATATTTCATTATTTTAATATTTATCTTTGAAGTAATCTATTACCCATTTATATAGTGCTTAATCTGTGGTTAACTTTGTATTTAAAGACAATATTCCATAAAATTGATTATATATAATGATGAATCCACACATTAGGAAGCTAGACATGTAAGTCTACTTTCACCCCTTAAAAATTCAATAAGCAAGAAAAATTTAAAAACTGACATCTTCATCCTATTTCTCTTACAAGAAATCCTTTTTTTGCTTGATTGTGTGAGGATGTTGATAGCGCTAATATGTACAAATACTGCAAACAATGGATGGATTGAGTGAATATTTTGAGATTTTGTTTTTGGAATTATGTTTGGAGAATGGGTTTGTAAATTTGATGAAAACGTACATTGTATATTATATATGTACAAAACAAGATATTTAAACGAGGTGAATATACTTACCCCTTAGTTAAATACCCTTACCCCTTAGCTAAATATGTATC